GTACCATGGTGGAGACAGTGCCGGACCTCACACAGTTCACAAGGACATCCCCAACTTCAGCAACCTCTTCCTCAATGACCAGGTGACCCTTCTCAAGTATGGCGTGCAATGAGGTCATCTTCACCATGCGGGCCTCCATAATCAACAAAGATGGGCTGCTGGTGGCCAACGGCAGTGGCTTCATTCCCTTGAGTTCCTGCGCAGCCTCTGAAAGCCCTTCATTGACATCACTGAGCCCAATTTCGAGTTTGCTATCAAGTTCAATGCCCTGTAACTTGACAACAGTGACCTGGCTCTCTTCATTGCAGCCATCATTCTGTGTGGAGACCGGCCAGGCCTCATGAATGTGCCACAGGAGAACATCATTCTTCATGACCTCGAGTTCCACCTGCAGGCCAACCACCCCAATAGCCAGTACCTCTTCCCAAGCAGCTGCAGAAGATGGACGACCTGCAGCAGCTGTTCAATGAGAACACCCAGATGATGCAGTGGTTAAAGAAGACTAGACTGAGACCTTGCTGCACCCCATGCTATAGGAGATCTATCAGGATATGTACTGGGGCTGCCAGGCCTCCTGCAGGTTCTAGATGGGCCCAGCCATGGGACTGTTCCACAGGCCAGCTGACAAGCACTCAGCATGGGTCACACTCTGGCACTCCTAGACAGACATGGCCTGCCTCCCTACATTCCCTTCCTTCCACCCCATTGCTACCCAGGCTCATTCTGTGTTGTCTCCCTCTTTCTCAGTCTCATCTTCCCAGTGCCTCCTGCTCTTCTGTTCCCTTGCCCTCTGCATGTCTTCCACCTCTCTGCCCTCCCTGCTCCTCTCTCCATCTTGATATCTGTCCTCTTTCTCCTCTGCAAGGCAGTCGGTACTGTCTCACAAGCAGCCTAAAACAGGACCTCTGCCTTTGCCCAGCCTTTCCCCAGGAGCAGCCTGCACCCTCCCTGCCATTACCCCTGGGCCTAGGGCCTTGCTTCTGTCTCCTGTCTTCATGTAAAAGACTTGGGTCATCCAAAGAAACACCACACTCTCTCAGCCTGCTTCCTGGGTCCAAAGAAACACTGTATTCTCTGAGCCTGGCTTCCTGGGGAGCTTGGCCCATATGGACTGCAGTAGTGGCCTGTGGTCACAGGGTTCCTGCTGCAGAGGACAGTGGGCAGGGGACCTGGGTGGAGAGCCACACACTTCCCTCCGACCGTCTTCTCCACCCAAGGTCAAGGCTGTGCCCCCACCCAGCCAACCCCACTCCAGCAGCCCCAGCCCTCTACACCTGACTTCCTCCATTCTTCAAGCCAGTCTTCTTGGCTGTCAGGGAGGGAGGCAAAGTTCCCACCAGGTGGGGGCCCTATACCCCCATTGAAGAGGAAGGAAATAGAGGTTGGTTTGAGGGAACCGCATCCATAATTCTGACCTCTGGACTCAGCCCAGGGAGGGTGTGGGGAAAGCCTTCCATCAGCACTCCACATCCCCCTCCCAGTAGCAGTGCCATCTCCCATCAGGAGGTGCTGGCACAACCGCCACCCCAGCTGCTACCCCTGGACCTGCCCTGCCTTCCCAACTCCCAAGGCCTGGAGCTGGTAGAACTGTGCCTGTGCCCGGGCTGGTGATTTCTGAGTGGACAGGGGTGTTCTGCCAGTCAGATAGCACCAGCTGGGTCCCCTCTCCTTCCTGTTTTGTTCCCAGCTGATCACCTGGAATTCTCTTTGCACAGCCTGTGGGGACCTTGCCCCTGGCCCCTTCCCTCCTCCCCTCCTCCCCAGCAACCAGGCAGAGGTGGGAGGTGTGTTCACCTCAGAGGAGAGGCTAAGCCCAGCCTGGAGCCTCATGTAATGCAGGAGGCACAAAGCAGCCCTGGCCTACAGGATCTCAAAGCCAGGTGGAGGGGCTCAAGCCTGGGCTTCCCGGGTCCTGTCTGGTCCTCCTTCCCAAGGGGACTTTCTGTCTGACCACTGCTCAGGGAGGAAATGGCCTAGAGAGGGGACAAGCCTGGCATCTGCAGAGTGGCCTGTGCCTCAGGGTTATTCCCTACTAGCAAGGCCCTCCCTTGCTCCCTCCCCTCCCACCCCAGCTGACCAGATCTTTGGGCTAGGGTTGCACCCTTTAGGTCACGGCTGTGAAGGGAGAGCTGCACACCTGCCCCACCCCCATGCACCCTGTCCCACCCCCACCCAGGTATGGCCCTTCTCAGTGTCTGGACAATCTCCAAAATTGAAATGTATACTTTTGCTAGGAGCCCTAGTTCCTGTGTTTTTAATATAAATGGTGTACAAAGTCTAATAGAACTTTAAATGGGCATTAAATATTTAAGAGTTAAAAAAACTAAAAGCAATTTCAAAAACATATTAAATTCCTATGACCCACGTCATCATCAGTTGTGTTGAAATCATTATGCAACTTGCTGAGTGTTTTCCTGCCCTTAATTTCGTGAAAATATGCCTCCCAAAAAAGCAAATGATGCCAAAAACAAAAGTTAATGTGCTTAAGTTAGGTGACAAAGTGAACATTTTAGTTTTAGCAGAGTTGGGTGGCATTGTGGGAAAAATGGGTCAAGAATACACAGTACGGTACTCAGCCCTATGCATCCTGAATTTGCAGTTTTTCCTCAACAGTGGTTTCCTTGGAACCAGATGCCCACAGACACCAAAGTTATACTGAACACTGTCGGGTGATCAGTGGGTCACTGAAGATTGGGAAGGAAATTTAAAAATTGCTGGAATCAAATGTAAACAAAAATACAATTGGCCAGAACCTTTGTGATATCTCAAAGGCAATTCTAGAGAAAATTAATAGTTAAACATGCCTACATTTAAAAACATCAGAGAGCTCACAAATAAATAACATAATGATTTACTTAAATGTAAAACAATTAACAAGTCAAACCCAAAATCAGTAGACAGAAATAAAGATCATGGCAGAAGTTAATAAAAAGGAAACTAAAAGAACACAATGAATAAAAGATAATGAAATGATAAAAAGTGACAAAACCTTAGCCAAGCTAATAAAAGAAAGACCCAAATTCATAAAATTAGAGATGAAAAAGGGGATATGACAACAGATACCAAAGAAATCCAAAATATCATTAGGGAATATGTTAAGATTTCATATTCCAGTAAATTGAAAAACCTAGAAAAAAATGGATAAATTTCTATATGCATGTGACTTACCAGAATTGAACCAAGAGGATATAAACAACCTGAACAGATTTACAATGAGACTTAAGCATTAATAAAAAGTTTCACAATGAAGAAAAGGCCAGAAAAACATGGATTCACTGCTGAATTCTCCCAAACCCATAAACAGCTAACTCCGATGCTCTTCAAACTTTGAAACTACTAGAGGAAAACACTTCAAGATATAGGAACAGGGAATGATTTTCTAAACAGGACTCCAACAGCTCAGGAAGTAAGAACAAGAATTGACAGGTAGCATTGCATCAAATTAAAAGGTTCTGCACATTATGTGAAACAATTACCGGAGTGAAGACAGCCTACAAAATGGGAGAAAAACTTTCATCTGACAAAAGATTAGTATCTAGAATATGTAAAGAACTTTAAAAAAAAACCAAAGAGCAAATAACCAATCAATAAATGGACAATGGAACTAAACAGACATTTTTCAAATGAAGAAGTACAAATGGCCAATAAATACATGAATATGTTCAATATCCTTAGCCATCAGGGAAACGCAAACCAAAACAACACTGAAATTCCATCTCACCCCAGTCAGAATGGCTATCATAAAAAAACAGTAAGTGCTGGAAAGGATGTGAGGGGAAGAGGAAGGAACACTTACTCAATGAAAGTTAGCCAAATCACTATGGAAATCAGTAAGGAGGGTCCTCAAAAAAAAAAAAAAAACCAATGTAACTAACTTCCATATGATTTAGCCATACCACTCCTGGGTATACACCAAAGTAACCAAAGTCAGCAACAGATAGAGATACTGCATACCTATGTTTATTGCAGCACTATTCATAATACTCAAGTTGTACAATTAGCCTACGTGTTCATCAATGGAAGAATAAACAAAATGTGGTATATATACACAATGGGTTACCATTCAGTCGTAAAGAAGAATGAAATTATGTTGTTTGCAGGTAAATGGATAGAACTGGAGAACACCGTATTACACAAAATCAGCCAGACTCAGAAGGAAAACTATTTCATATTTTCTCTCATATGCAAATTTTAGATCTTAAAAAAGACACAAAAATAAAAGGGGGACTACCTGAGGGGAGGGAGGCCTATGGAGGGGGAACAGGGACAGGAGAGGGTAATGGGGGAAATATGATCCCAGTATATCTTATACATGTATGAGAATGTCATTTTGAAAATTATTTTGGTATAATATACACTAATAAAAAGAAATGTAAAAATTAATAAAGTCAGTCTATTAAACACTTGAAGAGATGAGGCATGGCATTAGCAACAGGAAATGACAATAACATTAAGTAAGAATAGGTTTGCCAAACAACTGTTGAAATAAACACACAAAACAAACACAGTTGAGAAACAAACTAGTGAAATCGGAAAAAGAGAACATCTACACAAAAGAAAATCAGAAAGCAAAAGCTAAGGAATCTGTGCAACAGAAATAGGCATGCTAACATCTGAGTAAGAGGGATCCTGTTAGGATTTGGGTATGAGGTATCTCCCAAAAGGCTCAGGAAGTGTTGGAGGCTTGGGCTCCAGGAAGTGCCACTATTGAAGTTATTTGTTCACGAGGGTGAGCTGACAGCTGACCTGGCTACCAGAAAGTGGAGACTAAATAAAATAATCAGGATTTACTTTGGATAATGTCAGAATACATTATCCATATAATACTGGCAGTAAGATTCTTGATATATTACATATTCTCTTACAGAAATAATATTGCTAATTCTATTTTCTCCAAGAAGTAGATCATTGGGGGCATGCCTTTTGAAGGGTGTTTCTTGTCGCCTCTTCTTGTTCTCTGCCCTCCCTCCCCCCCTCCAACTCCCCCTTTTCCCCTCTTCTTCCTGATCACCTTGAGGTAAGCAGCTTTGTTCCACCATGTGGTTCCTGCCATGTTCTGCCTCATCACAGGCCTAGAAACTACATAACCAAGAGACCATGGGCTGAAACTGCTGAAACCATGAACCAGAGTAAACCTTTGCTCCTTTGTTTTTCTCAAGTACTTTTTGTCACAGTAACAGAAAACTGACTAACACTGATGTAGGGGTCCAGGGCATACAGGGTTACTATGAAGACTGGCAGGGGAGATAAGATCCAAACCTCCCGATTGCCCCAAAATGCCAAACAGATGGCAGAGGGTCCTGGGGATGACAATGGGTGTAACTGGCTGTGACAGGGTGGAGGACAAAACTGTCAGTAGAGAGTTGATCAAAGAACCTCGTCTGAGGTCAGGATAATAGATTTTCAATGTGGACATCAGAATCAGGAAGTAATTTGATATGGTTTTAGATGCAGTGAAGCAGGAGCAGAAATCGTTAAGATTTTCGATGAGAGAGCCAGTAGGAGAGGACTACAGCTAGAAGCAGGGGATGATTCACCTAGTATCCTGATTTGGAGCTGAGTTTCAGATGGAAGGGACTAAGAATAATCGGGAGGCAGTGGGTAAGACAGGAAAGAAAGCAATCTTGGACAGGAGGCAATGTACACAGAGGAGAACCAAAGTGGGAAGAGGATGGGGAACTGTTAGTGGCTGAACAGGAGTGGGCCCAGCAGGTTTGAGTTAGGGAGGCGTGGAAGATAGGGTCAGAGGGTAATGATTGGAACCACACATGGAGTAGACTCAAGGAAGTACAGGGAATAGGAATGGACATAAGGTATATGAAAGGTAGTAGGGGAATAATTCCAAGAAGCAACAGTAATCTGGATTTTTTTTTTCAGTGCTAGAGACAGAACCCATGCATGCTAGGCAAACACTCTATGACTGAGCTACACCCCCCAACCCTGAGAGTTTAATTTCACTCCTGATATGAGATAAGCCACAGGAGGCCCTTTAGAAGCATTTTTTTAAGACAGTAAGAGTGGTAATACGTTGCCAGGATGCTCATGGAATATTGCATATGATTTATTAAATCCCTCAGAAACTAAATAAGAGAATCAGGATTTACTTTGGGTGTCAGAATATATTACCCATATAATACTAACAATAAGATTCTGGATACAGTACATATTCTCTTACAGAAATAATATTGCTAATTCTATTTTCTCCAAGGGTCTTTTTAAAAGAGAAATCCAATAATTACTTTATTTACTCCTGCAGTATTTACTGAGTGGCCAACAGGCCCTGAAAGGGAGATCAAGTGTTACATTCTAACGAGGCTCAAGTTCTAAGAGTCAGAGGTGAACTCGGCCTTCCTACACCTGTATGCCACCACTTCTCACCACTGAGGATTCACGGACACCTCAAGGATTAGATGAAATTTATGCACCCAGATTTCTATCCAATACCCATGAAGTCTATCCAGGAAAGATCCTTGGCCCAAATTGTCTAATCCCTCTTGTCCCTTTTCAGGGATTTCCTCAGTCTGTGTGATGGACTTGGGTTGAACACCCTTTCCTTCTGAATCCTTCCTCCTACTAAGCAATCTTTTCACCTAAAGAAGAAAAAACAAACAAAACACTGAATTCAAGGGGGACCTTGAGAAATGGTACTCTGATGTGCACTGGTGACCGACTGTGTGAAAGAATAGACATGCTTGCCCTGTGCTTCATGAGGGGCATTATAAACCCATCAGGGGCAGTTTTCAGGCTTGCCCAAGTCCTTGTGGCCCCACTGCTCTGTAACCCTCAGAGCTGTAAGTGGAGAAATTGTAGAGAACCCAGGTCCCAGAAAATAACAGTGGTTCTAAATGTCCAACTCAGATTTCTTCATATTCCAAAGAGTTCTTAGCTCTCATGTTACCAAAAGTCCTTCAGAACACAGGAACCAGGTAAATTACTCTCTCATTAATTAGGATTTTCTTAAATTTTATCAAATCACTACTATCAAAACACTGAACAAAAGTGACAAAAAGTATTAGGGAAAATATCACTGGAGAGACAGCATAACACAGTGACTAAAAACATGAACTGTGGATCCAAACAATCTCAGCTCCACTCATTACTAGCTGCAGTCCTTAGATAGGTTCCTAGGCTCCGCATCACCTCTGCCACAGTTTCTCCATTGTAAAACTGGGATAATAGTTGGACCTATCTCATAGAGTTAAGGGGGTTGAACAAGTTAATATTTGAAAAACATTTAAAACAAAGCCTAGCACATGCTAAGTGCTATACATATTTGTAAAACCAAACAAAATAAAAATAAAATCTTAAATTAACTGGGTTAATTTCTCCATTGATCTAACAGTTCCTTACTCAAATATACTTTTTTAGATATTATGGTACATATATATATACATAATTGTGTATATTTTTTATTCCTTCATGTTATGTATATTGATATAGTGTCCATAATTGTAATTTATAGTGATCACCTAAGCCAAATTACAAACTAATTACCCAACAATGCAGTGATGAGTAACAATGGACACTGTCACAATGGGTTATTAATTATCACCTTTTGTTCCAACATTAGCCTCGTATTTCTAGGAAACAACCTTTCCACCATTAGTAATTTCACTTACTAATCTTTCCTAAGGAGGTTAAAATTGATCAATAGTAAATACCCCACTGAATACTATTCTATTTTCTTACTTAAATTCAGATTTAGTATCCCATATTCTATCCCTTAAAGGGTACCTAGACCCTCCCCTTATAACAGCAAAATCTATCTGTAATCCTATAATTATGCACAAAATGTTATCGTAAAGCTTTCCATCCAGTACTCCAGCTTGATGAAAAACAGTGTATTTTCACTTGAAACACTATTCTCAGCACAGGCTTTCCCCCTTAAAAATGCACACTCACTCCAGTGAAGGGTTCTTGCTAAAAGATGCTTCATTCATTAGTCATGTTCCTCAAGTATGGATGCCTGGTGGAATATATGGGCAGTTTAGAGTTTTCCTCTCTATAATTACTGATGGTAAATATGGGCTATGTAACTGCTGAAAGCTTTTCCATGTTCTTTTCATTCACAAGCTTTCTTCTAAAAAGGTATTTCCTATTGAATAATGTAGAGTTTTACTGAACTCCTAATGAAAATCTTTCCCTCTTGATTATACTTATAGGGTTTTTTCATAATGTGTTATCAAATGTACAGTAAAAACAAAAATCTCTGATCAATTCAGTTACAGTTTTTCCTCACTGTGATTTCTCTGGTGTTGAAGTAGTGCCGAATGACCACTAAAGGCTCTTCCACAGTCATTGCATATAAAACGTTTCTCTCCACTATGCATTCTCTGATGAATAATCAGGGAAGAGTTCTTACAGAAAGCTTTCTCACAATGATTGCATTTGTAGGGTTTTTCCCCAGTATGGTTTCTCAGGTGTACAATAAGGGAAGAACTCTCATTGAATGCTTTCCCACACTCATTACACCTGTATGGTTTCTCTCCGGTATGAGTTCTCCGGTGTGCAATCAAGTGAGAGCTACAGTTAAAGGATCTTTCACATTGATTGCATTTATAGGGTTTCTCACCAGTGTGAATTCTCCGATGAGCAACAAGATGACAGCTCTGACTGAAGGATTTCCCACATTTATTGCACTCATAGGGTTTTTCCCCAGTATGAGTCCTTTGATGCCTAACAAGGTGAGCCATCTGGCTACAAGATTTTCCACATTTATTACATTCATAGGGCTTAATTCCAGAATGAATGATTTCATGTTTTGTGAGGGCTGAGCGCTCTCTGAAAGCTTTTCCACATTCCTGACAGTTATACGGCTTCTCTCCTGTGTGAGTTCTTTGATGAGCAATAAGATGGGAGCTCCAGCTGAAGGACTTTCCACATTCACTACATTTATAAGGTTTTGCTCCAGAGTGAGTTCTTTCGTGTTTACTAAGTGCTGAGTAATCCCTAAAAGCTTTTTCACATTCATCACATTTAAAGGGCTTCTCTCCAGTATGCATCCTCATATGGGCAATGAGATGGGAGCTCCAGCTGAAAGACTTTCCACATTCAGTACATTCAAAAGGTTTCTCTCCAGTATGAGTTCTCTGGTGTCCAATAAGATGGGAATTCCAGTTGAAAGATTTCCCACATTCATTACACACATAAGGTTTTTCTCCTGTATGAATTCTCTTGTGTACAATAAGATGAGAATTCCAGCTGAAAGCTTTTCCACATTTGTTACATTCATAGGGTTTTATTCCAGTGTGAGTCCGTTCATGTTTAGTAAGGGCTGAACGATTCCTAAAAACTTTCCCACATTTATCACATTCATAGGGTTTCTCTCCAGTCTGAGTTTTCTTATGTTGAATAAGGTAAGAGCTCCAAATGAAAGATGTTCCACATTCATTATATTCATAGGGTTTCTCTGTAGTGTAAGTGCTTGTGTGTTGAGTAAGGAATGAGTCATACCCAAAGACTTTCTCCCATTCATTGTATTTATATGATTTCTCTACAGGACCAATTTTCTGATGTTCCATAAAGGATGAGAAATAAAAGATATTCTCGTATTCTTTGTAGTTATACTGGTTTTCCCCAACATGAAGTCTTGGATGTTCACTAAATGATGGACTCTGGTTAAAGATTTGGTGGCATTCCTTATATTCATACAGTTTTTCTCCTGTGTGCATTCCTTTATGATCACCGATATGTATTACGTGATTGAAAGATTTAACAGCATCAGTACATTTGAAAAGATTATCTCCAGTTTGCATTCTTGCAGGATGATAAGGTTGAATGGACTGGTAGAAGGCTTTGTCATAATCACTATTTTCATAGGTAACCTTATCTGCATACATTATGGCCGAGTTACATCTCCAGCTTTCAGCATGTGTTTCAGGCTTATAGAAATGTTCTAACTGAGAAACTCTCTGAGATGGAACAAAGTTGAAGTTCTGGCTATATTCTGCCCCAAGTTCACAGAATTCAGAACCTCTTTGAGATAGCACTTGTTTTTGCATGAAGATCATTTGCCTCATAGATGTACTCTGGTTCATGTGGTACATTTCTAATTGGTCTTTGCATCCCAAAACTCCTAACCTGGAGAACCAAGGATCATCCCATATATATCTTTCCAACTTCATGCCATGGGATTGCTCTTCAAAAACTCTCTGTGTTGGGACCAATGCTTTGCTTTCAAGACTTTTCATCCATTCTGAAACACACAGGGGGAAAAAAGTTATTAAATTTAAAACTTGCAAGTCAGAGAAATATCAAAATACAGAATAGTAAAAGTTAATAAAAGGTAACCAGAATACAGTGTACTGAAAACTGTTATCACTGAGGAACACTTTCCAATGAAAAGGAGGACAAAAAGGGGTGCAAAAAAAGAGTTAACTCAGCAGAACTGAGCTGCTCAAAACTTGCACATTACCAAGATGGCCTGTTTCATGATTGGCCCTCGGCTAGCTCTGGGAATTGAGACCTTGAAATGTTACAAACATAAGAGAACTTTTCAAGCTCAAGGCCTTGAAGCATACTCTACCAACTTCTCCAGACAGTTCATGCAGTGTCATTCATAGTGAACATGTGCTTTTCATATGTGCCTACATAACCAATCCCCAATAAAAATCCTGACTACCCACCTAGGCTTAGGCAAGTTTCCTAGTAGACAACTTCACATATGGCATGAAACTGTGTTCTGTGGAACTAGCTCCACAAGGAAGATACTAATTGAAGCTTACACCAGGCCTTAGCCCCATGCATCTCTTCCCTCTGCTGATATTGCTTTGTATCCTTTCACTGTAATAAACAATGATCCTGAGTCTAACTTTTGAGTTTGTAAGTCATCCTAGTGAATCAATGAGCCTGGGAGTAGTCTTGGAAACTACTGAAAAAAGAACAGGTGAAAAAGTTAAGATAAAACTTGCTTAACAAAAGATAAGCACAGTTCTGGGGGTGCAGTTCAGTTGTAGAATGCTTAGCTAGCATGCACAAGACTCAATTCAATCCCAAGGAGGAGATGATGAACATGCAGACCCTTGGCAAGAAATGTTTAAGTGATTAAATAGAGCCCTAATTCACTTCTGATTTGAAATGTCTTCCTGTTTCCCATCTTGACACCTACTTAAAAAAAAAATGGAGGGAAGCAGGTTAAAAGGAAAGTATCACTAAAATGAGACTTCAAGCCAGGATGCTATCTATGATAACACGCTGTTACATTACTTCCTATTTCATAGAGTATAGTCAAGGACACAAGATTCTCCTGCTCAAAGGGAAAATGTCATCATATTTACAGATACCATTACAGAATCACTTTTAGAACAATGGAAGAGAGACTAGAAAGATAGTACAGCATGATGAAACTACCCTAGGAGTTAGTCTCTAATAATCTGTATTTAAACACTGGCTCTGCCACTATCCTAAGTGGATTCTTCTGATAACTGAACTAGACTCTGAATCCAGCAAACACCTGCCAAATTATTTATTTCCATCATCATAAAATGTCATCATTGCTGAGGTGTCAGTCTTCCAATAACCATAGAGTCTATATTAGTACCTACTGCTATTGTGATAAATGACTGTACACTTAGTGGCTTACAATAACAGATTTATTATCTTAGAGTTCTGGGAGTCAGCAATCCAGAATAGCTTTCACTGGTCTAAAATGAAGCTATGAGCAGGGATGAGTTTCTTCCCAGAAGCTCCAGGGAAGAATCTGTACCTTTACCTGTTCTACTTCTAGAACATGCCAAAGCTGGGGTTGAACCCAGGGCCTTGTGCATGCTAAGCAAGTGCTCTACCATTGAGCTATATCTCAAGCCTTACCTCACTCTTATAAGAACTTGTGATTACCTCTTAGAATATAACCCAGAATAATCTCTCCATCTCAAGATTCTTAATTTATTCATACCTGAAAAGCCCCTTTTGACATATAAAGTGCATATTCACAAATTCTGGAGATTAAAGGAACATTCAGAGATTGTGGGGTGTGGATGCCAAATGGCTGGGAGATTGGAAAGGGAGGTTGGCAAAGGAGATTGGCACTGAAAGAAGCAATCAAAGATGGTTCACCCAGGAGAAATGTCATGAGCTCATCCCTCAGAAATGGCTGGGACACAGACTGCTATTCAGCATGAACAAAGGCATGTATTATGTTCCCAACATGTGAGTAGGACAGTAAGATTGCCAGATGAGTAAACAACAGCAGCTATTCTTGTTAAAAAATCAGAAATTAGAAAAATAATAGAAAATTTGGAAAGTCACTGATCATTTAAGAATTGCTGTAGGTTTACTGACAGGGACCTGATAATGAAAGATTTCGAGTGATAAATCTATAAATAACACCTGAAATGGCTAATATCATGTGAGAATTCCCTCATCAATCTGAGTTTGAATATCATAAGGAGAGAATCTGACTGAAGATGACGTGAGTGGAAGTTGAACACCACCACTGACATTTCACAGAAAAGATAATCTCAGGAGTTAAAAAAAAAGAGATCACTTCCTGAAAAGAAAAGAACAGGAAGTCAGCAAGACTTCGCTGACAGCTGAGGGGACTGGCAGGTCAGCAGCAGGAATACACCTCAGGAAGATGGGAAACAGCCACAAGGAAGAGCCAAGATTCCTGGCTCATCAACTGAGATCAAGGATACAGCTTCATAAAATGGGAGCAGTGAAAGGAATCACAGGCTCAGGATGGTAACTGAGAATGGTCAGCACTGAAGGTAGGAGAAAAGAAGCTACTAGAATTTGTGATCACTTGGAAGAAGTGATCATGATAGTGATAAGGATATGGTGAAAATGGTAAGACTTCACAAAAGTGCCCTTCATTGGAATGATTAGGGAGATGTTCAACTTCAGGACTAAAGAGGCTGTGGTATGCTATTAAACTAAAATCAGTAAGATTCACAGTGTAGGGGCCAAGTGTGGTGGTGAGAAGTGAAGATGGGAAGATCAATGTCTAAGGCCACCCGATGCAAAAAAATGTTAGTGAGACCATATCTCAAATAAGCCATGGCCAGACATGATGTAGCACACTTGTAATCCCAGCTACTTGGGAGGTGGAGATAGGGAAGATCCCAGTTTGAGGCCAGCCTAGACAAAAGATTATCAAGATTCCATCTCAACAAATAAACCAGGTATGACAGTGAGGGCCTGTGGTCCCAACTGAACAAGAGGCATTAGGGAGGAAAACTGTGATTCCAAGGGCACCAAAAACTTAAGAACCTAATCAAAGAAGAAAAAGAGCTGAGACTGTGGCTCAAGACAGCACCTGCCTAGCAAGCACAAAGTCCTGAATTCAAGCTCAAGTACTACCAAAAAACAAACAAACAAACAAAAAACAAAGATACACACTGCTTATAATATGCCACTTGTAGAAAAGTGAAAAGTAACTTACAAATTTCTACATATGTTGTAGTTGTAATAAGGAAATCCTATAAGCTTGGAGTGGAGGAGTGGCTCAAGTGGTAGAGTGCCTGCTTTGCAAGCATGAAGCCCTGAGTTCAAACCCCAGTCCCAGAAAAAAAAAAATCAGTAAGTTTAAAAAGGAAATTACTAAACATGATTGTCTGGGGCAGGATATCAGTAAAATGGCAAAGTAAGGACCTTGAATATTTCATTGCTTCATAAAAGAAACAAAGAAAACTGGCAAAAACTGACAAAATCAGGTTTTTTCAAAATTCTCTATATTAACCAAAGCCATCAGCAAGCAAGAAGCATTAAACAAGAGAAACTGAATTTCAGTAAGGACAGTGATCTTTGCGGCTTTTAATAATGTATCGTTGTCCATACGCTGGCTGCCCAGCTCAGCAGTAGCCTTAGAAAATATCAGCCCCATTTCCAATACTCCAGTGAGATGAATAAAGCCATGGCCTTTTTAAAACCTTATCCCCAAATAAGTCATTACTGGATCTACTTGGTGATTTCACAAAGATCCACTGGAAACCACTGAAGACCTGTCTGGTTTGCCTAACAGGGACCACATACAGTGCTAAAAGGCCTCTATGTAGGAGGTACTTGTCAAACATTTACAAGCAATGTTTTAAACTCACTCCTGCCTGATGGCACACAGCTAGGACCAACAAAACACTAACCAAAAAGAGAAAAAGGAAAAACTGAGTAACAAGGTGTCCACAGAAGCTTTGAAAACCTAGAGAACCATGTGCATATACATCATTAGTTAAGCCATCAAAAGCCAAAGAGAATCCTGAAAGATAAGCAACTCATAATATACAAGGGAACAATAAGATTAAAACTAGGATCCAGAAATCATGGAGCTAGAGCTGAGTGTGGTAGTGGTGGAAGCCAACTGCCCCAGTTACTTGGGAGGTAAAGACAGGAAGTACACGGTCCAAGGCCAGCCTGGCAAAGTTAGCAAGATCCTCTCCCAGAAACAGAATAAAGAGCTGGGGGTGTAGCTCAAAGTGGTAGAGGATTTGTCTAGCACACATGAGGTCCTGGCTTCAATCCCCAGTACCACCAAAAAAAATTGTTTAAAAAGGAGATCAAAAAGTTTAAAAAAAAAAAGATCAACTAAGAATTTTATATCTCTAAAATTATTCTTCCAAAATGAAGAGTTGCCCACTCTTCTCTCTGGAGTCTGGAGTCTGGGTCATCTTCCCAAATGGATGAATGGCTCTTGAATTGAAACCTGTCAAAAAAGAATGGTTTATAACCAAAGCCAAAAGAATACCTTCCTAGCATGGTTTGAACACAACCATTACCATGATGAAGCTACCCAGGAACAACTGACCAAAGAAATCAGCATTCTAGCATCTAAAATTCAGAACTAGTTTAGAAAGCAAATATCAAAACAGACGAAGTTGGAGTCTAGATGTCTTAGGAAAGGGTCAAACCCAGGAGCATGACCAACCTCAGCTGTAGATGCAAGAATACTTACCCCCAAAAGCCAGACAATACTAGGTACACCTCACAAGAACTCAAGGAAGGGTCCTAGTTCAAGCTTTTGAGAAGAACCAATTTCTTGATAACTGCTGCCAGGAAAAGTCTGGCTAACCAAACAGGAATCAAGAATTAAAAAATGGTTTCAGAACCAAAGATCTCTACACCTTGAGCAGAAGAGAGGCCATGAATTTCTTGGGACATGAAGCAAATGGGAAACCAGAGCTGATCACATAGCAGCAGCAAATTGACCTGCCCACTCTCCCGGTCAGACTCATTCATTTTCGTTCCTCCAATTCCTTCTGCAACAACCAAACATTTCTACCTGCTCCTCTTCTGGTCATGTGTTTTCTGTTCCCTGGGATCCCTTCAAGGTCTGTGTGAGCCAAGGATCATGAGTCATGACAGCCCACATAGGCTGTGGAGGGAAGAAAGAACCCTGGTGCTTCTCCCTCACCCCAACATATGTGAATCACTTACCAGAACTGCCAACCCCAGGAGAGAATCTCTCAGATACTTGGTCTCCTTGCTGGTGCCAATACCAAGAAAAATGCCAAAATCACATTGGCACAGGAGCCTTGTAGTTATAGGAATACTCTCAACCTCATCCTGAGCACAAAGAACAACAATCTTAGGATATAGGTTACACTGATATCCTAGGCTCTAACTACAGAATGGTAACTTCTCAAATGGACACACTAAGACAGACATACAACAGCAGGCAGTCAGCTGGAGAGTCATTTCATCCACTCAACCAACTCTACCAGCAGTATGTAGAAACCTCAACCCTTTGGATCAACTGCTACCATCCACAGATTCTCAGTAAAATGTACAAAGAACCATATCTGAATCCTGACCCATGGGAAGAGGATCCTCTGAGACCCCATCTACTCACATCAATGAAGATTATCAGGCTCTGTTCAGTCAGTATGCTATGAGGCTTACCATAGTCTTAGCTCCACAAGGAGGAAGATGTCATATTTATGACCCTGCTCTGGCCTCCTTCCTATGGATGCAGAGCCAGTAGGATTTAAAGACTAATGAACAATGAAAACATCCTGTCATGAAGGGAAAAGAATAAAGTGCTTGGAAACCCAAGTGGAGATTTTGCTCTATGTACACGTTATCTCTGTACCTATCTCACTGAGTAAAAGATTATTGCTCCATAGTCTCCAGAAACAACAAGTACATCAGGCAGTAGGCACATTTGTTGAATCCTTCTGAACAAAAGCATCTTCCAGTCTAGAAAACCGATGAACTCTAAATGAGCAAAGGCAAAGAAAGGATTACAAGAAGCACACTAGCGCCAGACACTGGTAGCTCATGCCTATAATTCTAGCTACTCAGGAGGCAGAGATCAAGAGGATAGCGGTTCGAAGCCAGCCTGGGCAAATAGTTCCACAAGACCCTATCCCGAAAAACCCTTCACAAAAAATAGGGCTCAAGGTGAAGGCCCTGAGTTCAAGCCCCAGTTCTGTGAGGAAAAAAAAAAAAAAAGAAGCACACTGGCAAATTACTTCCCCTTCTGGTAAGGTGGCAAGGCACCAATTTGAAATCTGTTTGATGTATAGAAAATAAGTTGTATACTACATTTCCTGGTGATGTATATTCATAACAGTGAGGTTTTACTCCAAAGTGAGGATTTGAATTGGTGACTGGAAACTACCAAAGTATCCATTAATTATTATTAATAAGGAATGGGTTCAATTACAAGAGCACTCATAATACTAAGTATTCTTCACTGAAGTGTATTTTTTTCCTTTAACCACTTAAAACAGAAAAATTGGGCTGGAAGTGTGGTCCATTCAAGTGTTAGAGTACTTGCCTAGCAAGTGCAAGGCCCTGCATTCAAACCCTAGTACCACCACAAAAAAAAAAATTCCATGAAAATTATAACAGCACCATGAAATCACTGAATATATAGTCTAATGATGCTAATATTTCCATATATTAGGTTTTCACATTTAAATATGCATATGCATACATATGTAGACATACAATTCCTCACTTTATTATAAACAAATTGTTAATTAAAAACCTCTGAGTCTTGGGTTGATATCCAACACCACAAACCACAAACAACAACAACAAAAAAAATTTCTGTGGTAATCATTCCTGTTTTATCCTTCCCTTTCTTTTGAAATGATAACTTTTAAGAATACATTATAGTATATGAACTTGTATGTGGGTTTACCTTGGTACAATAAAAATATCTTTAGAATTTTTTTTAAAAGGAGAAATTAAGAGGTTCTCAAAGAAAAAAAAAAAACCTGAGAATTTGTTTTATACCTGCCCTAAGAGAAATGGTAATGAAGAATCCCTTGAGCTGAAATAAAAGAACACTAAAGAGTAACTCAAAATAAAAGACCACCAATAAAAGAAATTACAGTAAGTAAATACATTTTTGTTTATAACTTTTTTTCTATATGATTTAAGGCATCACATTGCTTATAAATCTATGTTGATAGACACACAATGTACAAAGATGCAATTTATGACAGTAACGGCATATGGGGAGGACAGTTTGAACACTATCAAAATTAAGTTGGTATTAACCCTAATGACACTGCTACATGTTGAGATGTTAACTGTAATCCCCAGGACAACCACTAAGAAAATATTAAAAAATTCAAAGTAACAGAAAAGTGATTACCTGTGTTTGTCTGTGTGTTGGCAGGTGTAAGAGCAGGTTTAAGAGCAGGTATAAATGAGGTTTTTCAGTTAACACATTTTCTATGGCTTTGAGTTTTTGAACCATGTGAATATATTATCCACATTAAAAAAATAATTTATTTTGTTTTTTATTTTTTTAAAGAAGCATTTATGGCCACAGACTACAAGTTAGTAATAAAGGAAATAAGAAAAATTTAAAAAGTAGGTAAATGAATGAGAAGTCATCTTAGAAAAAGCAGAGAATTTGAGCACCATCAACAGAGCAGACACAAGGGAGGGAAATTCAGCACACAAAAACTGCTACCCTAACAAGGGTACCAATGGCTTCCACCATCTGGCTACTTGGAGGGCTGAAATCAGGAGGATCATGGTTCCAGGCCAGCCAAATAAAGCACTTCAACAGAAAAAAGCTGAGTGTGGTGGTGTGTGCCTGCCATCCCCAGAGCCAGGAGGAAGCTTAAAATATGAGGATCCCAGTCCAGGCAAGCCAGGCAAAAAATGAGACCCTATCTCCAAACAACCAGAGCAAAAAGGGCTGGAGATAGGGTATCTGTCAAGCAAGTGCAAACCCCCGAGTTCAAATTCCAATACTGCTTTAAAAAAAAAACCTGCTACCTTATTAATGAGGTGGGCATCGTTGCTCTGAATCAATAGCAGCAGGAAAGTCAACATAAGAAAGGAAAAATCTCCTTGGAGGGAATTCTGAATATATCTGAAGGTAACTCCTCACAGCCTCAGCCCACTGCTCTCACCTGGACAAGTGCTTTGAGGATATGCTTGCTCCACCACCCAGGGCTCTTCTCCTTGCTCCAACAGGGAGATGACCTCAGGCTTGGTAATCTGATTCCCTACATGTGGAGGAAAAACATGGGGCTTATGTAACAAAGCTTCCCAGCTACCAAAGAAAACTTCCCTTGCCTGTTTCTCCCTCTGTCACAAGTGGTAAGCACCATCCTTCTCACTTGTGCTTCACAGCATTATGAATTTCAACCCTAAATCTCAGGCTCAAGATCATCTCAGCCCCAAGATCACCTCAGCCCTCTGAGACCCAACCCCCTACCCCATGGAGGCTTCTGGGAACAGCTTCATTTACTTGGGCAGCACCCGCCTTACCCACAGACAACAGGTGCCCATAGGTCTCCAGCATCACATCGCGGTACAGGGTCCTCTGAACAAGGTCCAGCTGTCCCCACTCTTCTTGGGTGAAGTCCACTGCCACATCCTTGAAGGTCACTGGTTCCTAAAAAGAACACGTTTCTTCTCAGCCTGGGGCCACACCTTCATTTTTGGGGATAGAACAAGGCTGACAGCCTGGGGAAAGGAGACAGGATTAGGTCTCACTGAAGACCACCCAGGGCCCCAAATTTGGGATGTACTCTTAGGGAAGTAGATACCTGGGCTCACATGAACCACAGCAAAGATGAGCTCTACTAAGACTTCGGCCAGTCCTAGTAACACGGGCCAATGAGGACAGGAGTTACACACTGGCAAAGGGCCCTACTTTGGAAATGCAAACACTAGTAAGTCCTGGACCAGAGTGGAAACAGGCTAAAACACTGACTGCAGGCCAGAGACCTTCAGGATGCAGTCTTTACTTCAACATGTGGATCTGGGATCTAGAAGGTGATCTGAACACTCACATCTGTCTTCTTGGTCACAATAGGGAGATTTCCATTCACAGATCATCTCAGTCCAAGGACTGGAACTAAGGATGACTGGAATGGCCAGAGCAGCCTAGGCAAAGGGGAAACAGTTACAATAGCCGTCAAAAGCACTTAAGTTAAAATAAGATTCAAACTGGTGGGTACCACTGTACTCTGTAATTCCAACTATTTGGGAGATTGAGATGGCTTGAGCTCACAAGTTCAAGACCAGCCTGGGCAACACAGCAAGAACCTGTCTCAGAAAGTAAATAATAAACCAGGCATGGTAGTGCATGCCTGTAATCCCAGCACTTGGAAGGCTGAGGCAAGAGGATCACAAGTTTAAGGCCAGTCTGAGCTATACAAGACTCTGTCTCCAAAAAATTAGTTAAATAAAATCCAAACTCATCTTTTTAGGAAAAAGAAACAAGAAACCTCACTAGAAAACTAGGTTTGATTTTTGTGATGAATAAAATCCTCACAGTTTTTAAGAAATCAACATGGGTAAGTCAGGTGTGGCGGCACATACCTGTAACCCCAACACTCGGGAAGATGAGGCAGAAGGATCATGAGTTTGAGGCCAACCTGGATAACAGCAGAATCAAAAAGGCAAGGGGAGGAAGGGAGGGAGAGGCAGAGGACAAGGGAGGGAGGCAGTGAAAGAGGAAGGGAAAGGAAAATCAATGTGAGCCTCAGGTATCTCTGCATTCCTAGGGTAGAATGAGGGATGCCTTCCCTTGTGTGGTGTGCATGAGTGGTATGCTACAAATCTCGCAGCCCCTGCTCACTTCTCAGCCCCCACAATCTGACCACACACTTTCTGATCCATCCATCATTAGTGCAGAATCAACCCCAAATCTGCTGAGTGGCCTTGTGTGCAATACATCATTCCATTCCAAGTTCCTCTGGCCTCTCCCCTCCCCTTCATGCTCTCACTCTCTTCTACCTGAATACAGCCTTTCCTTGCTTCTCACAGCTAACCAACAACATGTCATCTCTGTGCCAGTCCTCACTGCTCAACATTTACTCTGTCCAAATGAACTGCACCCCTTCCATCTGCACAAAATGATGGGCTTAAAACAAAGAACTGATTCTCCACATAAATTCCCTTACCCCAAACCTCAACTGTTGACACCCCCCACACTCATATGCCATAGGGCTTACTGCAGCCCATCATTTTTGCTGATCTTACATTGAATCATTTGGGGCAATGAACATGTATTAATCATAGCAAGCGCTCAGCAAGATCCCTGATGCCTTGAGATTGCTACCCCAAAGGTGACTCTATGCCTCCACCTTCTCTGACCTGTAACATATATATAAATACACACACACACACACACACACACACACACACATATTATTGATTGACTGATTGGAACTGGGGTTTGAACTCAGGGTTTCACGCTGGCTAGACAGACCCTCTTACCACTTAAGCCACTCCACCAGCCTGACCTGTAGTATTTAAAAGTGCTGACCACATCCTACTTTGAAACACTCTCCAACCTTGGACTCATCAACGTCCAATTTCTAGTTTTCCCCTTGCAGACCTATGCAGACCAATTTCCTTGATCATTATCATTGCTTTTACATTTTGTTGCTGTTGTTTGTTTTTATTTAAATGTAACATATGGACAGAGAAGTGCATAAAACCTAACCCAGATGAACCTTCACAGAGCAGTCACAACTGTGGGGCAAGCTGAGATACCATGCTTACCCTCCTCCCCTAGTGCTTCTGGCCTGAGTCTGTCTCACGTCATCTAACCTCCCTGGGGGTAACATCTTAGAAGACATCAACACACCTCAAAAGGTTCACACTCACACCCTGGCAGCTGTCAAGCTGGCAGACTGCCAAAATTTTACCTCTCATTTTACCCCAGTGGACTCACCATCCATTTAAAAAGAAATAGAAGAATCATATCTAATCAACATAAGAAGAGGCTTTGCAACCCTTAATAAAATAGTGCACATTGGCAACAACCATCAATGACTGCTGAGTCACAGGTGAAAGACAGACAGGGAGCTTTATAACAGAGGTGTCAGTGAGACAATATCTGCACCTGCTAATCATCTTTTCACCTGAAAACCAGGCAACCAAACACCACGTACCTACGAATGCAACCATGTAGTAAGGGCCCAAGATGTACTCCTACCAATAATGCCAAGTGAATCAACTTAGGCCTCTAGTTCCAACTACCCATTTATAGAAGATGTGGTGATTAACTCATTTAACTACATCACAAAGACAAAATCAGGCAAACCAACAAGCCAAGGGACCAAGTTCCTTCAAATCCAAGAATTAGGTAATATTAAGGAATTACTGGCAATTTTGCTGGGTCTGATAATGGTATTATTGGTTATATTCTAAAAGGAATGTATCTTTTAAATATACACACAGAAGTAGTTATAGGTAAAATGACAGAATTCTGAGTCTTGCTTTAAAATGTTCCAGTTTAATACAAATGCTGCATTAGAAGAGGTGAAAAAGAAACTGAAAGCTGACAGCTACTAAAGGGGGTGAACATGGGGGCTTGTGGAGGTAGAAAGCCAGAAGGACATCCATGTCCTAACCCCCAAAATCTGTGGCTATTACCGAAATGACAAAGGGAATTTACAGATGTGACTAAAGTTAAAGATATTAAGATGGGGAGAGTGTCCTAGGTTGTCCACATGAATTCAAGGTAATCAAAGGGTCCTTACAAGTGAGGGAAGGAGGGAGGGGGGCAGTAAGGCCAGTCAGAAGAGAGATGATGGAAGCAGAGGTTGGAGCAACATGCTTTGAAGATGGAGAAAAGGCAAAGAAATGCAGTCAGCCTCCAGAAGTGAGGAAAAAGCAAGAAAGTAGATTCTCCTCCAGATGCATCACAGCTCTGCAGACTCACTTTAGACTTCTGAGCTCCAGAACAAGTGAATAAATTCATATTGTTCTAAGCCATTATATTTGTGTTGACCTGTTATATCAGCAACAGAAAACTAATACTAAGTTTATGTTCTACTCTGGGTTTTAAAAATTCCCTAAAAAAATAAAATTATAAAGAAACCAAAGAGCCAGGTGTAGTGGTATACACCTGATATCCTAGCACTCAGGGGACTGAGGCAGAAGGATCACGAGTTTGAAGCCAACCTGGGTTACACAGTGAGACCCTGTTTTAAAAAACAGAGAGGGAGGGAGAAGGACAGGGAGAGTGAAGGAAAGAGAGAACAAAGAAAAGAAACATCCCAGCCTCTGAACAGAATGGGCCAGCAGCACCAGGGGTTCCACATATCTCACCAAAAATGTTGACCTACTAAATAGTGCAGAGGCCTCCCAGCCCCACATGCCAGAAAGGGTTGCAGTGCAGTGGCACAGCAGGCCCACAGGAGAGGCTATGATCCTCCAGCTTAAGTGAGACAATAAAGGCATGAGTGAGCTCACCTGGAAATAGGTGGATTAAAGGCCTGTGTTCAGGGCACCTTTGCCAGTGACTCTACCTGAAGGCAGCACTACTAGCAGCAGCATTGTACTTATACCTAGGCAAAATTCCCATGAGCCTTTTAGGCTCAAATGTGGGAGGTTCCCAGGCTGCCTAGGTGAGTTGAGACCTCTGCAGTCTGGCATGGGAGAGGGTGTCTGTGGCCTGATAGACCTGTGCCTAGGAAATTGGGAAGCAGAGCTGACCAGCTGGACCTTGCTCACACAGGCCCACAGAGCCAGTAAGACTTGCTAGAAGATTAGAACATTAGTCAGGAAGCAGTTTGGCCACAGCACAGAGAACGCTCATAGCCCTTCCCTGGTAAGATGGACAGAACAGAGGAACACCTGCCACATAGGTAGAGATGAAACTCAGAGGCCTAGAGGACAAAAATTCAGACAGAAAACGGCATCCAACTTTCAATGAACTACAGCCCCATTTTCAACCTGAAGAGGATGCAGTGCAAAGTGGGATAGAATGATACAAGATAGGCTCTCTTGAGAGAAATGGAAAGGATTTGTAGAATATGAAAAAAGAGACAGAAGGCACAGCATCATCTCTCCCAAAGAGAGTTCTGTGCTGGTAGGAATATTATTGCCAGGCCTCCCAACCTCTTTCAAGAAAAAGACATGAAATATAAAGGAGAGATCAGAAACAGCAATTTATTCAGGAGGATCATCATCCAGCAGAAAACCCCAGAAAGAGAACATGAAGGAAATGGAATTACTTTTTTAAAATAATACAGGACTCTGAAAATAAGACACATACACACACACAAAAAAAACTAGCCATAAACAAAGATATATACATTTGACAAAAGCATACCAAAAGGCAAGCTATAGACTAGAAGATAATTCAAATATGACAAACACTCAGGATCCTGAATGCATGTGCAATACCTACACATCAGTAAGTCAGTCTCAGAAATCTAAGGATGTTGATGAGGAGGGGAGCAAGATAAATAGAAGGAAGTACAATGGTCAATAAACATATCAAAAGATACCTAAGCTCACTATCAATCAATCAAGTATGTTCAAAATAAAATAATGCCAATATACCTTTTGGGTCTTGAAATAAGCAAAAATGAAAAGACTTCAGCTAGGTGTAGTACATCTGGTAATCCTAGCCCTTGGGAGTCTGAGGCA